CTTTTTTTTTTTTTTTTTTTTTGGTACCGGGGATTGAACTTAGGTCCTTGTACTTGCAAGACAGGCGGCGGAACCACTGAGCTAAATCCAGGGCCCAGTCCCTTCTTTTTAATATCTTAGGACAGGGACTCAATAAGTTGCCCTGGCTGGCCTCAAACTTACAATCCTGCTGCCTCAGCCTCCTGAGTAGCTAGGATTACAGACATGTTACTACATACAGCTTAATTCCATGTCTTCAACTCGCTGAAAGCTCACACCCAAGGTTTCTCCGTCCTGACACTACTGACACTTGGGGCTAGGTAATTCTGTCTTGGGGGCTGTCCGGTATTCAGCATCATCCTGGCCACTAACCACTACATGCCAATCACGTGCCCCTAGTTGTGATAACCAAAACGGTTCTGAGACTTCACCAGATGTTTCAGAGGAGGTGGGGCAAAATCGCTCCCCTCTGAGAAGCACAGCCATAGCCCAAGGAAGCGGGAAGAGGACAATTAAAGGACCTGTCTGTCCACGGTCAAGAGCAGACAGAAGGGGGCTGAACTCGAGCTGGCGTCCACATTGCCATCACTTTTTGCCATTGGGTTCTCTACTGCACCCTGCCCATCCTCCCCTCACCCCTCCACACACCCCCGCCCCCCGCAGCTTACGGCCAGCTGCAGGTCACGGCTGCGCAGCACAGCAGAGTTCTTCTCCTCGCTGAGCTGAGCCAGGCGCATGGCGATCATGTAGTTCTCATCCTTGAGCCGGAGCAGCTCCAGGCTGCCCGCCTCCCAGTCCTCCCGCAGCCGCTGGCAGCGCTCCTGTGCCTGCTGCTGCTCCCGAAGCCTCTGCTCCAGCCCTGCCCGCTCCTCCTCAAGCACCCGGCCCCGGGCCTGCAGCTGCTGCTCCCGTTGCAGCTGGCTCTTGCGAGCTTCCCGCAGCCGACGCACCTCCGTCATCAGGAACTGCGTCAGACCCTCTGGCCCCTCTTCATCTGCAGGGACAGGGCAGAATAGCCAGGAGGACAGGTAAAACCCAGGGGAAGAGCAGACTACACCAAAAAAATAAAATAAATAAATAAAGCAAGCAAGCCACTAGAGGGAAACCCTGGAATGTGTTTTAGTAATTCCAGGAGAGGCATAAAATCCAGGAGTTACAAAGAAAAGGTGAATAAATCTATACCCAAATGTGAAAATCTCTGAAATATGAAAGCTGCAACTAAGTTAAAAGAAAAGCAAAAGACTGGGAGACAATGCAACAAACAATTCAAAGCCATAATATATAAAAAGCTCCTGTGAATCAATAAGAAAAGGCAAACAGCTAAATAAAAATATAGGCAATGGGCCGGGGACTTAGCTCAATGGTTCCGTCACCTGCCTTACAAGCACAATGTCCTGAGTTCAAT